CGCTGTAGCCTCTCGAGCCAAACCTAGGCTGCACGATGCACCAGCTTCCTGACCGCTGTCCGGCGACGCCCGCTGCCCCGCTGGGCGCTCCCCGGTGTCCTCGGATGAGCTTCTGCCCTCGCTGACACGTGACATCTCACGCTTCGGCCCCTCCATCTCCTCTACAGAACCGTTTGATGGATCCTGGAAGTTGCTTTCGGCCGCAGTTGCCTCACAAACAGAATCCACACTGCGCACTCCACCACCCTGAACACTGTCTGCCGATGCCTCAGGTCCCGCCGGGCGCGCCTCCCTGTCCTCACACGAGCTGATGCCCTGGCTTCCACGCGACCCCTCGCGCTTCGGCTCCTCAGTATCCCGTATAGCCACGTCCACCGCATCCTGAAAGGCTCGGCCAGTATCCTCCACAGGTGTGAAGGCTGACCAAAAGCTGCTCCATAGCGATGCACCAGCCTCCTGGGCACGTTCAGTAGAAGGCCCCTTCTTCGCGTTGCGCTCATGGGTATCCCCACACGAGTTTCTACCCTCGCTGCCACGGGAAACCTCGCGTTTCGGCTCTGTGGCCTGCCGTCCAGCCTCTTCAGACGCATCCTGGTGGCTTTGTTCGGCCGCAGCAGCGTCTAGACATGAAGCGAAACTGCTGTATGGCGCTTCAGCAGCTCCCTGAACTTGGACTGGGGCAGCGCTCTGCTTCGCCTGCCGCCTCTGCGTATCCTCACATGAGCGTCGACCCTCGCTGCCACGTGACACCTCACGCTCTGGTTCTGCCGACTCCCCTCCAGAACCGTTTGACGCATCCTGGAAGCTCTTGCTTGTCTCGACAGACTCTCGAACGGAACTCAAGCTGCTGCATAACGATGGGTCAGCCCCGCGGCCACTATCCAGTGACGGCCCCTGCATGTGGCCGAACGAACTTCCACCCTCGCTGATATGCGATATCTCGCGTTTTTGCCTTTCCGTCTCCTCTCCGAAAACGTTTGACCCATCCTGGGAGCTCTTACTGGCATCAAGAGCATCTCTAGCCGAACCTACACTACTGGAAAACGAAGTATCAGCCTTCTCTACATCGACTGACATATCGCCATTGCTGGTCTGGCGCTCCTTTCTATCCGCATAAGGGTTGCTGCATTCGCGTCCACCCGATATCTCGAGCTGAGGCTCTTTCTCCACTTGCACTGAACCGTTGGACCCAGGCTGTGAACATTTGTCGTCCACCGCAGCCTCCCTAACCGGACCAAAGCTAAACGATGCACCATCTAAAATGGCAGTACTGACAGGCTGAGGGCACTGCCGCTCCTGAGGTTCCTCCTTGTCCCCACTTGAGCTTCTGTCGTCGCCGCCACGCGACGCCTCGCCCCTCGGCTCTTCCGCCTCCCCTTCAAAACCGTTTGAAGCATCCTGGAAGCTTTCGTCGGTCACAGCAGCCTCCGAACCAGAACCCAAACTGCTGCATAACGA